CGGCGCCTCTCCGCTCCGCACCTGCAGCCCCTCCTTCCTCCCGCCGGTGCCGGGTGGGGGAGGACGGGCGCCCGCGGCCTCCTCGGTTTCCCGGTCCGGGTCTCTTGGCTTGCCTCTCCCCTGCCCACGAGGCCATCCACGCCTCTCTTCCCTCCTTCCCCTCCGTGACCTCTGGCCTCCCATTCATTCCTTCCTCGTCTTCCTCTTTTCTCCCTCCCCGCTCGGGCCCTCTCCCACACTCCACCCGCCGTGCGGCCCCCCGCTGCGTTCTCGGGGTGTCTTTAGAGCATCCGTGGAAGTTGAGGGCCTGGATCGTGGCTCCGCGAGTCGCGCCCGAGAGCGCAGCCTGAGCTGCTGGCTGGAGAGAGGAAGATGTCTGTGCTCAGGCGGATGATGCGGGTTTCCAATCGCTTCCTCCTCGTCTTCATCTTCATCTTCTCGCTCTCCTCCTCTTGCCTCTACTTCATCTATGTGGCTCCGGGCATCGGTAAGCACCGGACTGGGACACACCCTCAACCTCCCCGGGTCGCCATAAATTTGGGGTGCCTGGGTGGTTGCTTCTGGGGTTTGCCAATGGGGCTCAGCGGTGGGGGGGGGTTCGGAGAAAGCAAGCATGTTATTTGAATTGTTATCTCAGACCTGTCAAGTGATCTGCTTTAGGGATTGGCTTGGATCTGAGTTTTGTTCATGGATGCGTATTTTCGAACTTAAAGAATGTTATTAAGTGGATGTAGTAAGATAAGGTATGATGGCCTGCAGCGCTTCCTTGAGTATTTCATCACTACTTCATCCATTTGATTGCCTGTCTTTCTTAAGCTTCAGTGGAGGGTTCAGTTGGGGTTTTTATTCAGGCAACTGCAGGTATCTGATAATCCGTGGTGAAAATACAATGGAGAGACCGCAGCATGGGATGCAATTGAGGTCGAGAGTGTATATGTACTCTAGCGTTCTAGGTCACAGGTTTAGAATGGGGTCAGTGAACATTTGTGCCAGACTTGAGGAATTTTCAGGGGCTGAGTTGGCCTGTAAAGGCAGGGTGGTCCCATCAGCTAGCTGGCTTGGGTCTGTTTTTTCAAGGGCAGGTTAACTCAGCTGCCTATTAGGGTGCCTTCTGTGATTAACGCAATTGTGCAAAGCAGTGTGTAGTTTCAGATTTTTAACCTTCTCTTGACCACTGCAGGCCTTTGGTTCAAAGTGCATTTCTATCTAGTGTGCTTGAATTGGTTTCCTTATTAAATATTCTACTTTCTTTCCCTTCAGTCTCTTGATTGACAGGAAGACAATGTAGCATTCTAATGAATGAAACATAGGAAACCATACCAGCATTAAAGTACATCATAGTTCTGAGGGTGTGCTGAACTTCCCTGGGTATGCTGCATTTAAGGTGCCACTTCCTGTTCAAACACTAGTAGTCTTTTGAGCTAATGATTCTCCTCTGAGTTAGCTAAAAATGTAATGCTTTTAGTGAAAATAGATGCAGAAATTTGAGATAGAATTCTGATGGGCAGGTTGTCTTGATTGTAGTAGATGGTTGTAATGAATTGCTGTGGAGAAGTCTTAATCACACTGCTTCATTTATTTCTTTTTCTTCACACTCCTCCACCTCCCCCCAGCCTTTTTTTGGTGGTGCTTGGCTTTGGCTTAAACCACATCTCATTCTACACTTCTTTTCTTTGTTATTTTTCAGGTATGTATATCTCTTTCTGCATCTATCTCTATCTCTGTCTTTCTGTATTTCTCTTTTAAGGAGGGATTGCTGGGGCTCACCTTAGACACTTCAGTCCACAAATTGTTCTCACCTTAGTATGTAATTCGAACACTTGGGAGAATGAGATATGAAGATCTTAAGTTGTTCCAGGGCTACATAGTAAAACCCTGTCTCAACAAAACACAGCAGGACATATTTATTAATCCAACCATGTCAGCTACTTGATAAATGTCAGGTATATTCTGTTTTTCTTTTCATGTTTTGTCATTTTGGGAGTCATAAATTTGTCATTTTGGGAGTTTTATAAATTTGTAGCTTTTTTTTTTTTTGATATCTTTAGTTGATGTTTATTTTACCAGACATTTGACTTTGGAAGATTCTGGAGAATTTTTTTTTTTCTTTTTGCACTTAGATGAAAAAAAAAACTTTTTCTTTTTTCTTTCCTTGTTTGTTTTGTGGTGCTAGGGATTGAACCCAAGGACACATGTATGAAAGGCAAGCCCACTACTATCGAACTATATACCTAAGCTCCCTTACTCCCTTACTTTGCATTTTGAGTAATGTGTTAAGTATTATGTTATTTAGAAAGTTAAATCAGAATTCCAGTGTTTTACTTGATAGTAATTTTTTTTTGGGTAATGCCCCAAAAAAATAATTGGAAAATTTTTTTTTTTGGGTCCGGTCGTGGGGCCTGAACTCTGGGCCTGGACGCTGTCCCTCAGCTCTTCAGCTCAAGGCTAGCACTCTACTACTTAAGCCACAGTGCCACTTATGGCTTTTTTCTTTTTGCTTATGTGGTGCTGAGGAATCGAACCCAGGGCCTCAGGCATGTACAAGGCAAGTGCTCTACCACTGAGCCACCTTCCCAGCCCTATTTGTAGATTCTTAAGGGTCAATCCGTGTGGATTTTTCTTAGGTGATTAATGTCACCTCAATAGGTTACACCATTGACAACTGAAATGTGTGTCAGATCAGGAGGGAGAGAGTCCGGGACGCACATGACAAACATGTCTGGAAATGTAGGGAAATATAATTGGTTGACATCTATCAAGAATTTTGATGTAAAAGTACTTGTACACAGTATACATTTTAGTCATCATAAAATTTTCCTTGTAGTAATTTAGGCTATAATATAAAACATTCCAAGAACAGTCTCTGTACAGCTAATGATACTGTAAGAAATCTGTGATGAAATAATGTAGACATAGAAACATAGAACTTTTTTTTTTTTTTGCTGCCAAAAAGATGATAGTTTTCACTGTCTTCAGATGTTGCCCAGCATTTCCTGGGCTATTTGAGCCTTAATCTACAATGAGTTTCCTAGAACTCAGAGCTATTTACTTTAACATTTTTTTGCCTGGAGTGTTGAACTCAGAGCCTCACACATGCTAAACAAGTCTGTACCTTTTGAGTTGTCCTGCTCTCCAATACAATTGGCTTTAGCTTCTTTTTACTACACTGTGGTCTTGCTACCATTGTTCCTGCATAGCTGGGATTCCTGCTGTGAGCTAACATGCCTGGTTTGTATTCTGAGATAGGGTCTTACCAACATTTTGCCCTGCATGACCTTGAACCTCAGTTCTCCCATATCCTCCCTAGAATTTAGGATTACAAGAAGGAGCCACTGTGTCTGGCCCATATTTTTCCTTAAAATTTCTAGTTCGTGTTGGAAACACAGGGTAGTCTGAGGGAAACTGGTGGCAGGCAACCTCCCTTGGCTCTACTTTGGGAAGTTGATGGATGTACCGCAGTAACCCACACAGCAGAATGGGAGCCACGATATCTTCTGTGTGCCATTGTACTTGGCTGCAAAGAGATGAGCACAAGTTCCCTTTAAACTTTTGAGCTGGTTGCATTCAATAGAAAGCCATTTTCCATATAGCAACTTTTAGTCTAATGTCATTTTTTCCCCTGTGGTATCAAAGGAAATGAGCTGACTTACAAATTGCTTCAGCAAATACAAATGGAGCCCCCAAGAGAAGGTGCACACTGAGACAAGGACACAGGGATGTGTAAGACACGGTGGTTGGTGGGGATGAACTCCACAAAGAGCAGTCCTTATAAAGTCTATGCTGCCGACTGTAGGCCGGTTAAAGATTCCCACAGAAGCTGGAGTTGGGAGTGGGCAACAGTTAGGGTTTATCTAGACTGAGCAAAGGGATTCTGGTCTAAGGGAGCAAATTGAACAAAGCTTCTAGAAAATAGCAGTCCTGTGGTTCTGTGGGTATGGGGTGCCATGGACTAATTGGGAAGTGTGACTCAGTGGCCTAGCCTAAAGAACATCACAGGTACCCTGAAGCTCTTGTCATAGAGAATGGCTCCGCTCATCCAGCCTTGTCTAAGCTGTCTGTGATTAAGAAGGAAATGGATGTACCTCTAAGCAGTAGGGCAGTATCACGGGGATGGAGGATTAGGGTCAAAGACTAGCCCCAGGGATCAGGGATTTCCCTGTTGTTTGACTCAGTGGAGTCTTTGACCTTCTCTTGATACACTGAAGTTGGGTAGAGGTGGAATCTGGTCAGGCTACTTTGCTCTGAATCTCTGTGAGCTCCCTTTGGAGTATTAACTAATAACCTGACTAAGTGCTTGGTTCTTTAGGTCTCCAAGTGGTTTGTGTCCATTGGCCCTGGTGGAGTTGGTAGTGGGGGGTGGGTGGAGTATGGGTGGGACTTGTGTAGAAGCATGTATCCTGGGATAGGAGGCTTGGTAAGGTTGGTGCTCAATGCACCACACTAGGCATTTCATTTTGGTTTTTCTCTGTGTTACCTCATTAGACAGTAACTTGCCCTTTAGCCTGCATTTTGCTGCCCATTTGCCTCTTGGGCCTGGCTGGGGGAGCCTAGCTGTGTTCTTTCCCTATGGTACAATCTGCTTTGAGTTGCAAAGGTCCTTGTGATTTGTTTTTCCTTCTCAAGTGCTCTAATCTGTGTGGTTATAGGCTGGAGTTCTTCTGATTTGGGCCATGGTATTGATTATCTTTTTCCCTCTGAGCCTTTTTACTGACAATGTGTCTGGTGCTGCTGCTGTTTTTTTTTTTTCCTTCTTGTATCAGGAAACAGCAGACGTTTTGCCAAGGTTCATGATGCATTTCTTTGTTTTAGAATAATCCTGGCCTGAACATGTAGAGGCATAGGAAAACAGGTAAGAAGTTGTTGCAGTATCCCAGAGATCCAGAGCAAAGTTGATAGTTGCCTCAGGTCAGATCAAGGAGTTAACAGGATGGTAGAGGGAACAGCTGTAAGGTGGTGCTCAGATTCTAACTTCACTATCAAGGTAATAAATAATAGGAATGTGGAATGGTAGGTACTTTTTTTGTTGTTGGTCATGGGGCTTGAACTCAGGGCTTAGATGCTGTCCCTGAGCCTCTTTGTGCTCAAGGATAGCACTCTACCACTTGAGCCACAGCGCCACTTCTGGTTTTTGGCTGGTTAATTAAGAGTATCACTGGGTCTTTTGTGCCCAGGCTGGCTTTGAATCAAGATACTTAGATCTCAGCCTCCTGAGTAGTTAGGATTACAGACATGAGCCACCAGTGCCTGACTATAGGTACATGTTTTGAGGGAACTATTTGGGTTTCAGAAAAACTGAATTAATGCTTGAGGGCCATCCAGAAAGAATTTTTCAGTAGATAGATGGAGGCCAAGAGAAGGATTTGGATGTCTTCGGCAGAGGTGAAAGACACTTACCTATCTCTCCTCTAGCTAGTAAATTGTGCTGCAAATGGAAGTACTCATCAAGTCTGCACTCTTAAACTTGGAAAACTAGGGGTGAAGTCATAT